AACGTGGCACTTGTTTCTATTAGCTTCTTTGTTACTACTAGTAAGGCACCTGTTACTACTAACGTGGCACTTGTTTCTATTTGCTTCTTTGTTACTACTAGTAAGGCACCTGTTACTACTAGCGTGGCACTTGTTTCTATTAGCTTCTTTGTTACTACTAGTAAGGCACCTGTTACTACTAGCGTGGCACTTGTTACTAGTAGCTTCTTTGTTACTACTAGTTGGACACTGCGACATGTTTTTCCAAGAAACATGGTCTGTAGTTTCCTTGGATGCATATTCTGATCAACATCCTTCCCAGCTTGGCACCAAGTCACAGTCACCAAACCTGCCGTCAGCTTCTGTGAGGCTTGCTGGCAGCGTGGCAACAAGTCGTCGCACTTCAGCGATGCCTGGTACCCCGAGCACTCCTTGGTCGCGCTTTTAGCAGGTGAGTCATACGATGTCAGCATAGGTGCAGCGAGTTGAAACTCCAAATCATGTTGGAACCATGAGCATGGGTGTCTTGTTGTAGACCATCCAGCTCCGAGCCAAGGAACAAGCTGGTGCTTCCGCCAGTCTCTTTTTTGGCAATCGGAGCTGCAATAGCGCTTTGTCTTACACAGGCCGCATCTGAATGATGCGCGTTTCCCGCATAGCCTTCCAGGCAAGCAACACGTGAATGTGAAAAATCACAAAGAAGACGTAAGCATCTCAAGCATCTCTTTGCCCAAGGTGTCTCCTTTTTTTGGGACTTGGGGCCACTCACAAAACACTATTGCCAAAGTTGCCAAGAAACTCGCACAGGCCATGTGAGGGGTCCAGGCGATGGAAAACCGAAATGAATGCAATGGGATTCTTCTGGTCCTCCCAACTGCTCTCCTTCCAGGGTTCTCTCATGTTCTCTCATGCAGCTGGCTGCTTGTTTCTAAGCCCAAAACGGTAATTGGGAGCCTGTCCCACACTTTGCCATCCAGCAAAAAAGAACGCCTCTCTCCTTGAACTGTATGTCCACGCCCAACGTCTCGTAGCTAATTCCCACAGCGCGGAATCGTCCACCGCCATATTTGTCAGACGGTTCGCCCAACATCAAAATCACGTCTTTGCTGTGGTGAGACCATTGAAGTCCCTTGTTCGCCCGGCGAAGACTGAACGGATTTGAATTGAACGAATAAACCGGGCAGAGCGAAAACATATATAAAGAACAGCTTTCATGTGTAATAGTTCTTTGGACAGGAAGTTGTCAATTGAAAGAAACATCACATTGAAACCATTGTTTGAGGGATGGGGGTTGTGAGGAGAGGCTAGTGCGCTAGCTACTAGGAGGTTAAGAAGCTACTGGGCTGGGACGCTGGAAAGCGGCTCAGGCTTAATTGATTTTGGAAACGCAACTCTAGCAGCTAGCATACCAAATGACCACCAAATTCTCCTGCTACCCTCCGAGTGAAACTGTTGATAGGCCCGATGAAAAATCATCATCGCTGATTTATCGGTTCCGCACCTCTGGCAAGGTCCCTTCGAATCGGCTGAAGCCCTCGACACTCTCGTTGTAGAGAAACACCACGTCTGCTTTGCCGGTGGTGAGTCGAATCTGAAGGCCAAGGGCCTTGCGAAGAAGCGCTTTTTTCATGTTTTTTTCTTGAATGCTTAAGGCCATTGCTATCAGGTTGGAGGCCATTGCTAGTAGGTCATTGTTCTCGTTTTCAACAAGGACTTTAAAAGAAAAGACAAAAGACCTGCGTCGACACAAAATGGAATAGAAATGAATCGCTGAATGAAAGAGGGTCTTGCATCAATGATGTTCGATGGATTCACCTTGACAAAAACAGTGGAATTGCACAAATCAATGCATTGTTGAAGTCTCCTTTCCTTTTTACTCTCCCCATGCCACTCTCACTAGTCCTCTCGCCTTGCATGTCAAATAGCTGCAATCCGAGAAGGATTTGAACTCCAGTGGAGGCACTGGTCTGAGGTTCTTGGCCAAGTCTTCAAGGACGCTGCGACACGCAGCCTGGCTGCTTGGAGGTCTAAAATGGCCAATGGTCTTGCAAAATGAGTCGATGGTCGTGCAAAAGATCTCAAATCAAATCAACATAGATCACCATCTCTTGAGTGAAGTCATGATCACCATCATGTGAGGTCACAAGATCAATCACTGCAACGTGATCGCTCCGTGTGATCCGAAGAAGGGCTGAAGAACTACATCGATTCATACCAAGCACCTCTCCTGCAGTGGATCTACTACAAGAGAGCGAGTTGATTGGAGGGCTGAATTCGCTCTCCCGCAGGATCCAATGCAGAATAGATTGGTAGAACCACCCAGAACTTTTGTGGTGTTCGAATCCTGTATTTTTCAACATCTGCAATGAACTCAACACGATCTGGTTGAACGTGCTTGTTTAGATGTAGCTACTGATGATGCAAATGATGTGTAAGCTGTCGTAGCATTTCTTGCATCATGGATGTCCTTAGGAGTGCCAATCAAGCGCGTCTCCGGGCATGGGTTGTGGGTGCAGCACGGGATGCATGGGGCAGAAATGAGTTGGTTCCCTATGACATCCTGTGACTCCCCAGAACGGGTGACAGGGCCGCTGGGCCGGCCTCATCAAGGCCCAACAGCTCAACGGCCTCAAAGCAGAGCTCCATGGCTTCGGCAGCGATCTCAACTCAGGTGGCTTATGGTTTCCTCTGCCCTCCACCCTAGTAGCGTCCTTGCTACTAGTAGCGATGCCCTTGTTCCTAGTAGCGATGCCAGGAGCGCCCCTAGTAGCGTCCTTGCTCCTATACTTATGGTTTCCTCTGGTGAGTCGGCGTGAAGCATGGTGTGCAGCGTAAAGACGTCCTGTTTATAAAGAAAGTCGAGTGCATGTAAGTTACGGGTTTGGGGCTTTTGGAAGATATGGCCATAAACTTCTTCAGCCAAAAAGTCAAATAGAAGCTGTTCATCCATCTACGTTTACTGATCGGATAAGAATCAAAACAACGTCAAGCAGGTGTGCTCCCAAGCTGCTGGTTGCCAGGGGAGTGGTTTGGCCGAGATGCCAAGAAGCGAGCCTTTGTTGCAGCTGTCATGAATCGTAAGTGATATTTATAATCTGTTTGAATATAATTGATGCAACCACACGTTGGTCTTGTGGTATGTAAATAGTCTCACTCAAGCATCATCTCCAATCACATTATGGCTGCGCGGCAGTAATGGATGCACATACCACAAGAACGAAACAGCGAACAAAAAACAGCTCTCCAACCGTGGCCACATCACATGTCATGCAGCTTTTCCAAACTCTTGTGTTTGGTTGGCTCAATCTACCGCAGAACACTTTTTGACCTTCGGGTCTTTGCCCCAAAGTCAAACTCAAAATAAGAGAAAATGCAACTGGTCTCAATGACGGAGTTCGGAGTTCGGCTCAAATTCCCCATGGCAAAAGCCATGAATTTGATCAGGCAGCTGCCGAAAAGCTTTGGAGATCTTGCAGCTTGAGACCTAAGAGCCAACTTCAAGAACTTGACCCGACTTGTCACAGGTGAAAGGGGAACGCCTCCACTGCACCGTTTGATTCTGTCCTTTTTGGATCTTTTTGGCCATCCCCAAAAGACTGGTTGAAAATGAGCATATGCAGGTAGGTGAAATGCACAAACAGAACTGGAAAGCCCAGCGGCCCAGCGGCCCATGTCACCCAAACAGCTTAGTGGCCATCTGCCAGGCCAGGCGCCGGGTGCTGTGGGGTCATGTTAACTGAGACTCCGAGCGCAACTGTGCCAATGGCTCTTCGGTCTGGACCTTTCCTCGCGTCTGCCGGGCGATCCGCTCCTGGACGGATTACGGGTGTTTCGGGCAAGTCCACCAGGATAAGGTCAAACCGCCAAACAGTTCAACCCTTTCAACTCAACTTAGGCTGCTGACTCATGCCATGATGTGGCATGTATTTCCAGCCCCTCCTTGGGTCCTTCTCTGCGGGGTTCGCTGCTTTGCCGATTGGGAGTTGGAAGATGCCTCGGATGTTCCTTCATCCTATCCGTCCTGTCCGTGGATTTCCCCCGCCGCGGCTCTGCCTTGCTGGGTTGACAGAATTGTCCATGGCTCTGCTTGTTGTGAAGCTGCTCCAACAAGGTGCGTGGACGTGAGTCACGCATACTCCTTCCATTGACTTCCTTCATTTTGGCCACCGCCTCTGGCTCTTCCGGTGAGGCTGGGCTGCGCGTATCTTTCTCCTTTTCATTTGTGCGAAGGGTGGAATCACCATCGGCAACTCCCTTGGTACGCCTGCAGAAGATCACATGTTTGCTAAAGGCATCGGTTTTGACTCCAGGATCTCGTATCTAGAGTCTACGATTAAAAGAAGCACACAAAAGGCAGGTGAACACACAGATGTCAGCCTTGGTGTGGCAAACTGTCGACTGGCAGGGCCTCCAAAATCAAAGGGTAAACAGAATAGGCAATGTTTATATCCTGTCTATACATATGATTACATATGCATGAAAATATATGGCAAGAAAAGCCTTCCGTTTCCGCACGGATGGCATTACTGCGACGCACCACTTTTTCTCGTTCTGCACTGTCACTCCACCGCTGGGAGCGCTCGGCTCTCGCCATCGATGTCACACTTTTTCTGTGTCGACTCGAGTGTCCATTTGCGCTTTGATTTGTGACGCTGAGGAGTTCTCCCCATTTTTTCGGGGAAAGGGTCAGAGTGAGTCGTATGGCGGTCAGACATTCTTATCGCTGACGCCGACCGCACGGATGACTCGTGGCAAATCCGCAGGTCACAGTCTCTCACAGCTCATCGTCCAAATCATAGAGCTCATCGCAGGCCTGGGCGGACGCGCGACTCATCCACCGCTCTGAATGGGATGCCAAGCTTGTACCGCTTGGAGGCTTGGAGCGCTAGGAGCAGGGCCCAAAGGATGATGTCAGAGCCATCACCTGTGAAGAAAATGCTGAAACCGATCTGACACTCTTCAAGTCACATCAGGGTCAAGCGGGTGGCGGGCCAGCATTCTGAATGCCAAATTCGATATATTTATTCTCGGAGATGTATGTCGAAAGTACAAGGCTCAGAGGCAGTTGAGACTGCAAGCGTTTTGCACCTGGATTACAAGCATCTGTCCCCAAGCCAAGGCATTCCCGCGCCTATTCTGCCTTCCCTCACGCTCATGCAGTAGTTTTGATTGCCCTGGCAAAGTCGATTTGATCGTGCAAGGGAAAAAGCTTTGGAATCTGCCAAGTGTGGAAGCGCAAGGCACCAAATGCCCAAAACTTTCCTGTTACAAGGTTCTACCATGAATCCACTCGAGAAAGTCATTACATGAGTGCCAGACAAACTTAAGATAACTTGAGGCCAGAGGGGGTGAACGAAAGCTAGCCGGGCTTCCGGTGGTCTGCTGCTGGTGCTGCTGCTGCTGGTGCTGCTGCTGCCGCTGCTGCGCTGGGCGCTGCTGCGCTGGGTGCTCTGCAGGCACCGGGTCGTCTGCTGCTGCTGCTGCTGCTGCCGCTGGGTGGTCTGCTGCTGCTGCTGGTGCTGCTGCTGCTGCTGCCGCTGGGTGGTCTGCTGCTGCTGCTGGTGCTGCTGCTGCTGCTGCTGCCGCTGCTGCGCTGGGCGCTGCAGATGCTTGGTGTGCTGCAGCTGCTTGGTGGTCCCGCTC